GGAAGCCATTCCAGTCGATGAGGTACTGTACTCGTCGGCTGGAAGGAAGCCCTTCCAGTCGATGAGGTACTTGTACCTCGTCGGCTGGAAGGAAACCCTTCCAGCCGTTGTGGAACTCCTATCGTGCCAGGCGGTAGGCAGTTGGTTGAAGGGATGGTGCTTTGAGGGCTGCCTTCAAGTGGGGTCCGGATAAATTGAGCTGTGATCTGAACAAAACGCGTTGGGGTTGGTTGGTTTTCTGAGAGGAGACAACAGAAGTGGAGTTCTGTGGCGGTTGTTGAGTCTGAGTGATCTTGAGGATGTGTATGAGGATCAGAAGTATGAATGATAAGAAGATCAATAAAATTTGATGGGTCTATCTTGGATCAGATCAGAGTGCCATGCTTCCCCATCATCTCAGTTCAAACTGAACTTTGACTCTGGGGCGTGACATGTCACAGACATGTCATCACATCCCTAACTACACCACGGGCCGCATCAGGCGGCAATTCAACCCCATTTTTGGCGTCGGTTTGTCTCGATCTGACCCCGCCGGGGTCGACTCCACAGCAGAGGTCCAAAGGGAGACCCGCCTGACTCAAGCGTGCGCGGACGGTCAATCTGCGCCGGTTATGTAACCGTCAACACACCGCGGGTCAAGATGCAGGCGGTGATGACGGTTAGGACGGTTGACGGGCAAAAAACGGTCAGGCGGATGGTTTTGGGACCGCAGTTTGTCTTCCACGTCAGGAGGGTCCAACGGTAAACCTGGATGACCGTTGGAATGAATAGCAGAAATGTGGCCGGGCCAGGCATGACCGGACAAATGACCGCCTGTTGGTGCGGCAATGCCGACGTCGTGTCGGACAACGGCTGAAAAATGAAAAATCATAACGATTGGTTTTTTTGGGTTGGTGGGGGGGGGGACCGGGGGCCCCGCCAGAAAAGGTGCGGCACAAGCGGGCGCGTATTTTTTTACTTATTTTTTTCTTTTCAGCACAGATAGACATCAATTACTAGATACAAGCTTTTTTAGGATTTTGTATTTTCGGATTTTTGGGGTTGAAATGGATCATGTTTGCACAGCACAGTCATTTAAGAAGTATGGAAGCGAGGAATGGTAATCTTGAGGCTGATGTTAATCTTCAGGTCGAGGGGTTAAGGCTGCAGAAAGAGCTAACAAGACGCTCTTTGGATTGGGTAATACACTGATGAGAACTATCACAAGATGCAAATGGCCGATGGCTTGAGTTGGCCTAGCGAATGAGTGGTGACGATTCAACATCTTCATCGGTCGGGAGGCGCACAGTTTCGGGTGGGATGTCCTTGAAGGGTAACGACCCAAAGAGCTCGCGGTCTTTGATCAGGACCATTTCGCTAAACCTGTGGCGGCCAGCCGAATGTGTCAGCAAAATGATCAGGAGGAAGTGGGGTGCACAGACTTACGTGCGTTGATAAGCAATTCTCTGCCTGGAGACATGCTCCAGGCGACTATCGATGATTTCCCAAATCGTCATTGAATTGAGGGGCTGGGGACTGACCAAGTTCTCCGCCATAGCTAGCCTCAAGAAGGCGATTCGGATCTTAGTGGTGCTATTGTAAGCCTGGCAAATGGCTCCGACGGGCCGAGGACGCCCACGGGAGGCCATTGCCCGGTCGATCTGAAAGGTGATCAAGTCAGCGGGCCATACTGCAAAGGCCCAAGTAAGTAGATGTAGAACTTACTATACCTAAAAGAGGTCCATAAGAGGAGGGACTGAGCCTTCAATCGCCTTAGGGTGGAGAAGGCATATGCCTTGATGTTGGTCAACAGC